CTCGTTCTTCTCCCTTTCCTCTTCTTCTCGCTCTCCCTCGATCCGTCTTTCTGGCCTCTCTCCCTCGCTCTCTTCCCCTTCCTTCATTTCTTCTCGCTTCTTCCCTCGATCCCGTCTCTGTGTGCCTCTCTCTCCCTCGCGCTCTCTCCCCTTCCTTCGTTCTTTCTCGCTCTCCCTCGATCCGTCTTTCTGCCTCTTTTCCATCTCGTTCTCCCCTTCTTCGTTCTTCTTGCTCCCCTCGATCCGCCTGTGTGCCTCTCCCTCATCTCGCTCTCTCCCCTTCCTTCGTTTCTTCTCGCTCTCCCTGCTCCCTTTTTTTCCTCCTCCTTCCATCTCGCTCTCTTCCCCTTCCTTCGTTCTTTTCCGTTCTCCCTGCTTCCTTTATTCCTCCTCCTTCCATCTCGCTCTCTCCCCTTCCTTCGTTCTTCTCGCTCTCCCTGCTCCCTTTTTTCCTCCTCCTTCCATCTCGCTCTCTCCCCTTCCTTCGTTCTTTCTCGCTCTCCCTGCTCCCTTTATTCCTCCTCCTTCCATCTCGCTCTTCCCCTTCCTTCGTTCTTCTCGCTCTCCCTCGATCCGTCTGTGTGCCTCTCTCTCCCTCGCTCCCTCCATCTCGCTCTCTCCCCTTCCTTCGTTCTTCTCGCTCTCCTCTGCTCCCTTTATTCCTCCTCCTTCCATCTCGCTCTCTCCCCTTCCTTCATTCTTCTTGCTCTCCCTCAATCCGTCTTTCTGCCTCTCTTTCCACTTCCTCTTTCCATCTCGTTCTCCGCCTTCGTTCAGTCTTTCCCGTTCTCCTGCTCCTTTTTTCCTCCTCCTTCCATCTCGCTCTTTCTCCTTCATTCATCCTTTCCGTTCTTCTTGCTCCCTTTATTCCTCCTCCTCCCTTCCTGCCACCCTACCTTCCTCTTTCAGTTCTTCCCTCCATCTGTCTGTCTGTCTCTCTTCCTTTCCTGCCCTCTCCCCCCTCCTTCTCTCTCCCTCGCTCACTTTCTCTTCCTTCATCCTTCCTGCTCTCTCTTTCTCCATCTTTATTCCTTGCTCTCCACTCCCTCCTCCGTTCAACTCTCTCTCTCTCTCTCTCTCTCTCTCTTCTCTCTCTCTCTCTCTCTCTCTCTCTCTCTCTCTCTCTCTCTCTCTCTCTCTCTCTCTCTCTCTCTCTCTCTCCCTCTCTCCCTCTCTCCCCTCTCCTCCTCTCTCTCTCCTCTCTCCCTACCTTCCTCCCTCCATCCTTCCATCCCTCCCTCCCTCGTCTCAACCCCCTCTCTCTCTTCGTCCCCCCTTATCTCTCCCTCTCTCCCCTCTCCCTTACTTCCTTACTGCCCCCTTCCCCTCTCTCCCCTCCCCTCCCCTCCCCTCCCCTCCCCCAGCCGGCGCCACTGAACCCTCCGATCTGGTTCTCAGCGCCGTCGGAAGTGCCTCGCTGATTAGCATCTCCGCGCTGTGGATTCCTTTGCGCGCCTTTTTTTTTTAAAATCTTCTTTCGTTTTTTCTTTTTTTTTTCTTTTTTTTTTTTTTTTTCTTTCCTTATCTTTTTTCTTATTATTTTCTTTCTTTTTTTTCTTTTTTCTTTTTTTCTTCCTTTTGTCTTCAATCTTTTTTTTAAGGTCGAGAACAAACGGGAGAATTTTAGGGGTGGAAGAGGAGAGGGAGGAGTGAAGGGAGGGAGGGAGGGAGAGAGGGAGAGAGAAGAAGGAAAGAAGGGCGGGAAGGAAGAGAGGAGAAAGAAGGAAGGAGGAAGAAAATGAGGAGAAAGAGGGAGAGAGAGAGAGAGAGAGAGACAAGAGAGAGAAGAGAAGAGACGAGAGAACGAGAGACCGAACCAGAGAGCGATGGAGTCGAAATGGCGACGGGGCGGAGCCGAACCGATACTATGATTCAGCATCATGACACTGTAAGAGCTCGACATGACACCTGTCACATCCGAGCCTCGATCTGTCACTAGCGGTATCAGTCTCTCGGCGTCGAATATCTCCCTCTTGCTCGTCCGTCTCAGGTATCATCTTGGAAATTTCTGCAGGAATGGGACTTGCCGACTCAACCTTATGGCGGCGACGAAAACCGTTATGCCATTTAACGTACTTTCTCAGTTTTTTATTTGAATTTTTTATGTTTTTTATGGGTGTTTTAGTCAGTCTTGTCACGTATATTCACACCCACGTCCTAGACTTATCGGAAGATGTATGGACCAATCGGGGCTCATTTTTTCCCGCCATTTTTTTCCCGCCATTGGACGCCGGCCAGTGAAGCTTTCGATGGAGAGAGATACAATGAGATTCATAAGGAAGTGAGAATATTACCAACGGTTGTGAGTTAGGAGTGAGATGTAATTCGTTAGATTTTTTTGAAGATTGCTCTCCTATTTCTGTATGTCTCGTTTTCGTTTTTTACTATTATACATTTTTTTGTATTTCGTATTCTCGTTTCCTTTTTTTTTTTTTTTTTGCTCGTATTCTCTCTTTTTCGTTTTCTGTTTCCCTATTTCTTTTATTCTTTCTGTTCTTAGTTCAGTTATTTATGTATCATTGTTTTTTTTTGTTTTTTTACATATCTCCTCCCTTCCCTTCGCGACTCCCTTCTCCGAATTCCTCGACGCGGAAAACCGGTCGTGCGTCGCCTTCAGTCGCGCTGAGACACTCCTGAGGGGCGTGGTCCGTGTCTGTGGGGGAGGGGTAGTTTTTTTTTGTTTGTTTGTCGTTTGTTTGTTTATTGTCTGTTTAATGTTTTTGTTGTTTTTTATTATTATTATTTATTTTTATTTATTTTATTTTATTTATTTATTTATTTTTTTATTTATTTATTATTTTTATTATTTTATTTTATTTTTTTCTTTATTTATTTATTTTTTTCATTTTTATTTTATTTATTTATTTTTATTTTTATTTTTTTTTTTGGGGGGTGTTGTCTGGTCCTTGAGTGTGGCTGTGTGTGCGCCGTGGTGGTCGCCTTATGCACTTGTGTCATGTCATGTGGACTGGCAGGAGATCACTTTCGGTTGACATGCCTCTAACGGCTCTGCCATGCGTGAGTGGATGCGTTGCTGTGTGGGAGTGTTCGCGTCAATACACATACGTATGTACGCTCACGCATACTCGTATGTGCGCGCTCAACAACGTGTACACGTATACTCACGCGCACGCACGCACGCACACATACACATGCATGCACACGCACACACACATGCACCACCAACACACATATACACACGCACACAACACAACACACACACACAACACACACACACACACAACACACACACACACACACACACACACACACACACACACACACACACACACACACACACACACTTCACTCAGCTCACAATGACCCCTTCGCCGTGTCATCTCTCGAACCCATCCCTGTGGGCGCGACCTGCACGCGCACATGAATGGGCGGCGCGGGGGAAGCCCTCGGAAGGAAGCCCGGAAACCCCCATAGAGGTCTTGGCGCTGAGGGATGGCTGCGGAGATGAGGGGGAGGGGGGGAGGGGACAGGGTGTCTTTTGATCTCGAGAAAAGAAGAGTTGGAAGGAGGGAGGGAAGGTGGTGGGTGGGTGTTGGGTGGAGGAGGAAGGGGGAGGGAGGGAGGGGGGAAGGGAAGAAAAGAAAGAAAGAGAGGAAAGGATGGCAAGGGAAGAAGGGAGAGTGAGTATGAATGAGAGAGAGTGAGAGAGTGAAGAAAGAGAGAGAGAGAGAGAGAGTGAAGAGAGGAAGGAAAGGACGAATCAGGGGACGAGCCAGAAAAAAGGATTGAACACATACACAATTTCGAGAAAATACAGGAGACAGACGATCGATAGATAGACCTGAATAGAGGTAGCCACATACAAACAATTTTTGAGAAAGTGAGAATGAGACAATATTGTTTTTTATGAGTTATGAGTCAGGTGTAATTGATTAGATTCTGTTGAGAGAAAGAGATTTTTGGGAGATCTATTCAGTTGCGAGATCAGTTAGACGAGAGATTGACCTAACAGTAAAAACACGATGGAACTTAAACTTGATATTTGTTAGTAAAAGGAGTTGAAGAAAATGGATTCGACAATAATAGCGACAAATAGGAAAATAGAACATAGGAGAGAGATTAAAACCTGAATAGATGCGTAGATTTGAAATGACTTCGACCATAAACCCAACAAAACACGAAGACAGACAATAACAACAACAACAACAAAAACAGATAACTATGGGAAAGAACGAAAGCTGGGAACAAAAAAAAAATATACAAGAAGCGGTTTGGTGAGCAGCTCCGTGAGGTTTGACGATGTAGAAGATAACAATAGAAAAATATGAGAGTGGGAACTGGAGGGTGGGAAAAGTGTGAGGCAGTGGAAATATTCTCTCTCTCTCTCTCTCTCTCTCTCTCTCTCTCTCTCTCTCTCTCTCTCTCTCTCTCTCTCTCTCTCTCTCTCTCATCTCTCGTCTCTCTCTCTCTCTCTCTCTCTCTCTCTTCTCTCTCTCTCTTCTCTCTCTCTCTCTCTCTCTCTCTCTCTCTCTCTCTCTCTCTCTCTCTCTCTCTCACGTGGGATTTTAATGGGCATGACGGTGCTAGAGAACCCCGCTAGGTTTGGTTATGGGTTTCTAAACTTAGAATAACTGGCAGGGGAGTGAGAATGTGTTGGGGGAGGTGGGGGGGGAGAAAGAAAGATCCAGGAAGTTGTAGGAGGAGGAGGAGGGGGAAGAAGAGAGGAGGAGGAGGAGAAGAAGAGGAGGAGAAGAAGAAGAAGAGGAGGAGAAGGAGGAGGAGGGGGAGGAGGAGGAAGAGAAGAGGAGGAGGAGGAAGAGAAGAAGAAGAGGAGGAGAAGAGGAAGAAGAAGAAGAAGAGAAGAAAAGAAGAAGAGGAGGAGGATAAGGGCGGGGCGGGGGGGGGCGTAATGATAGTGATTACCTGGTTTAGTAATTAGTGGGAATCGGACTTGTGTTGGCATAACTAAGTCGGCATTTCCCATGAGGTTCGCTTTCTCTCGTGACAATTTTTTTTTTTTATTTGTCTCATTTGTGATA